TGTAAAAAGGATCCAAAGCCTTGAATTTGCACAGGAGGAACAAGGCCCAGGGAGGGAAAGGGGATTGCCCAGGGTGACACAGCCGGTCAGGGCCCCAGTCGAGTCCCACCGGCACAGGGGCCCACTTGTGGGCTGGGTCTCAGCCCCTCTCTGTCCCCTCCTCTCTGCCTTCGTATCTCTGTCTTCTCAGTGTGTCTGTCTACACGTGTCTGTGTGTGTCTCTGCCCCTCTCTTGGAATCTCTGTGTAAATCTCTCTCTCTCTCTCTCTGTATCTCTCTGTCTCTGTCTCTCTCTTTCTGTCTCTCTCTCTCTGTCTCTCTGTCTCTCTCTCTCTGTCTCTCTGTCTCTCTCTCTCTCTGTCTCTCTCTCTCTGTCTCTCTGTCTCTCTCTCTGTCTCTCTGTCTCTGCCTCTCTGTCTCTCTGTCTCTCTCTCTGTCTCTCTGTCTCTGTCTCTCTGTCTCTCTCTCTGTCTCTCTGTCTCTGTCTCTCTGTCTCTCTCTCTGTCTCTCTGTCTCTCTCTCTCTGTCTCTCTGTCTCTCTGTCTCTGTCTCTCTGTCTCTCTCTCTGTCTCTCTGTCTCTCTGTCTCTGTCTCTCTCTCTCTCTCTCTCTCTCTGGCTTCGTCCTTTTTAGCTTTCTCTCTGTATCTCTTTACATATCTTTGTTTCTCCCCCCTCCGTCTCTCTCATTCTCTCTCCCGTGTCTCTGTCTCTCCTGCCTCTATCTCTGTCACTCCGTGCCCACTTCTTCTTTTGGCTCTTCCACCACCTCGTGTCTGTGTCTCTCTCTTTCCATCTTGGCCTTCCATTTTCTTTGTGTATTTCTCTCCATGTCTCTTCGTCTCTGCCTGGTTCCTCTTGGTCTCTCACCCTCTGTCCCTCTGTCACCCCTGACTCTCACCGCACCTCGTGTCTGTGTCTCTCTCTTTCCATCTTGGCCTTCCATTTTCTCTGTGTATTTCTCTCCATGTCTCTTAGTCTCTGCCTGGTTCCTCTTGGTCTCTCACCCTCTGTCCCTCTGTCACCCCTGACTCTCACCTCCCTCCCATCGTAATTCCTCTCTCTCTCCCCTCCCACTCCCAGGACCTGCTAAACCCCGATCCCGCCCCTTACTGCCAGCTGGTGCCAGCCTCCTGAAGGGCTCCTGGGCCGGGCCAGCCAGGGAGAAGACAAAACCTCAGCTGTCCTCTGGGGGCCTTGCACCTACAGAAAAGATGCCCCAGAGATCGGCAGCATGAGGCCGTCGGGGACTGGGGGCTGAGGAGGCGGACTCAGCATCGTATAGGACAAGCGTCCCGGGAGGGGCAGGAGACTGTCACAGGCCCAGCTGCTCGCTCACCCCACTGAGTGTACAACCGCCCTTCAGTCTGTTCCTCAAGCAATGTGGCCTGGGCTGTGTGCCCGGGAGAAGCAGGATCTTGCCTCCTCCCACACCCAAGTCCCTCATGAGGACATTTGGGGGTGAGGAGGGTGGTCTCAGGCCTGCTTCACAGGCACCTGCTTGGCTGGGCTCCCAACTATTCATCCTCAGTGTCCCATCCCCACTTCACCAGTCACCCTCGGAACCCCTTCCCCTGGAGACAAGGATGCCCCCCACCCCCCACCACGCAGGCCCGGGGATGTGGCATGTGGTAGGGAGGCCCGGCCTCACAAGCCTGTGGCCCCAGACAACAGTCCTGGCAAGTTAGGACAGCTGCCACACCCCTTTCCTGCTCAGGCAGCTCCAGCCCCTCTCAGAACACAGTCTCTCAGAACCTGCTGCCAGCTTCTGCCCGTTTCCACCACCCTGAATCTCACCAAATCTCCCAGGGCAGCAGCTCCCTTCTCTACCTCCCTTCTCTACTCCCTGGCCCCAAATGTGGACCCAGCCTGTGGCCCCTTGATTGATCATTCAGCAATAAATGAGCCCTTCCTGTATGCCAGGCAGAGCTGTAGGCGTTTGCAGCTTTAGCAGAAAACAAAGCAGACAAAAACGCCTGCTCTCCTACAGGGATACTCTGGCAGGGGAAAGAGTCAGGAAACAAAATAAATAACTAACATATGTGGCATGTCGCATGGTGATCAGTGCATGGGAAGGGGGAAGAATAAAGAGGGGAGGGGTCCGGGAGTGTTGGGGGATTGAGATTTTAAGCAGAGAGAGCAGAAAAGGCCTTTCTGAGAAGGTGAGAAATGAACAAAGACCTGAAGGAGAGGTGGGAGGGAGCCATGTAGGACTCTAGGGGAGAACATTCCAGGCAAAGGAGACAGCAAGTGCAAAGGCCCTGAGGTCGGAGCACCCTGGCATGTTCAAGGAGCACAGGAGGCCAGTGTGGTGCAGGCAGAGTGAGGAAGGGAAGGGTGGGAGGCGAGGTCAGAGAGGTGGGGGAGGGGCAGCCGGTGCAGGGCCATGTAAGGTGCTGCCAAGATGGTGACTTTTGCTCTCGGGGGTGGGGGGAGACTGTGCTAGGCTGGATAATGGACCCCCAGAGATGTCTGCACCCTAAACCCCAGTGAACGTTACCTCATACAGCTAAAGAGACTTTGCGGGTGTGATTAAGTTAAAGACCCTAAGATGGGGAAATTATTCTTGATTACTCAGGCAAGCCTTAAATGTAATCACAAGGATCCTTATAAGGGGGACACAAGAAGAGTGACAGAGAAGGAGCCATGGCGATGAAGGAAGCAGAGATGCTGCACTTCAGAGATGGGGAAAGGGGCCAAAAGCCAAGGCAGCACCTCAGAGCCGGTGATTCAATGTGAGAAAGATTCCATCGGCCATTGCGAGCTTTGAGGATGAAGGGCCCATGAGCCAAGGAATATGAGAAGCCTCTAGAAGCTGGAAAAGGCAAAAAAAGTTTTTCCCCTAGAACCTCCAGAAACCAGTACAGCCCTGCCGAAGCCTTGATTTCAGCCTAGTGAGACCCATTTTGGACTCCCGACCTTCATAACTATAAGATAATAAATGTATGTTGTTTTAAGCCACTGAGTTTGTGACAATTTGTTACAGCAGCCATAGGAAAGTAATATAGAGGAAGAATTCACAGGAGGGGAAATTGCATCTCATGCTGACTCAGTAAGTAAATGTTCCCTGCGAGGGAGTTCTCCATCCCCAGGCCCCCTTCAACACCTACTGCCTGGGCCTTCAACCTCCTCCTTGCTAAGATGGTCAACGAGGTCAGCCATGTGGCCAGCGCCCAGCCTGGCACTGACTTTTAGGGTGCAGGGTGTGGGGGACTCTGTTCATCCTGATCTCAACGAGGAGACCCATGGGTCTCCCTTCTCCTCTGTTCCAGCAACTGCTTATCAAGCCCCAGTGTCCATTCTCTCCTTTTCTTCAGTAATACGGTTTTTAACCAATTGTATGGCTGAAAAGCATAAAAACTACATTTCCCAGATTCCCTTGAGGCTAGATGTAATCATGTGACTAACTTTAGGCCAATGGGTACAAGCAGAAATGATAAAAGCGATTCACAGGTCATGTCCTTAAAGGGGTGGCTGAAAAGCATAAAAACTACATTTCCCAGATTCCCTTGAGGCTAGATGTAATCATGTGACTAATTTTAGGCCAATGGGTACAAGCAGAAATGATAAAAGCGATTCACAGGTCATGTCCTTAAAGGGAGAGGACTCCTCCTCTCATCCATTCGCCTTTCCCTTAGACTGGGGGTGGGAGCAATCGGGGCAGAACAGAGCCACGTCAGAGAGCGATGCTGTGGACAGAGCCTCCATGCCAGGTCAGCTACCTGAGGGAGAACAGTTCTTCTTTCTTCCTTAAGCTACCATTATTTTGGGATTCTGTTACACCCTAGCTCATTCTAAACCCTAATTAATACACCCCGCCAAGTCCAAGGTGGCAATATTTTCAAGAGTAAGCTTTTAGAGCCTGACTACACTCCTTCCAGCTCCCCTGCTACCGGCTCCTTTATGGGCTGAATTGTTTCCCCTGAAATTCATATGTTGAAGTGCAAACCCCAGTGCTTGAAGATCGGCCTTTAAAGAGGTAATTAAGGTTAAACATGGTCGTAAGCGTGGGCCCTAATTCAGGTGTCTCTATAAGAAGATGGAGACCAGGGATGCGTGCTCACAGAGAAAAAGCCACATGAGAACACGATGGGGAAGCGGCCGCCTACAAACCAAGGAGAGGGGCCTCAGGGGAAAGCAACCCTGCTGGCACTTGATCTTAGACTTCCAGCCTCCAGATCTGTGAGAAAATAAATTTTTGAAATTTAGATCACCCAGTCTGTGGTATTCTGGCGTGGCAGGCCTAGCAGATGAATACAGGCTCCTTCCACGACAGCCCTAGCAAATGGGGAGGCCAAAGGGACCTCCTTCCTTCACCACTGCAAAGCCAGATTCAAATATAAGAATAACAACATTGCCAGTGAATAGAACCGGGACCTTGCACCGTTCGATGTCTGAACTTCTCAAATTTTCAGAATAGGCTTGAGAGGCTGGGTCTATTATATTCCCACTCCTCAGATGGAGAAACTGAGGCTCAGCAAGATGAAGTGACTGTCCCAAGCCCACACACTGAGGATAAGGAAAGGCCAGTGCTGTGATCAGGATGAACTGGGTTATGCTGCAGTAACAAACAACCCCACAATCTCCATGGCTTAAAACATCGAAGGTTTATTTCTTGCTCATGCCACATGTTCACCTCAGGTAGGCAAGGAGTGACAACAGTCAGGAGAATTCTGCTTCATGTGTTGTCATTCAGCAACCAGGCTGACAGAGCCAGTCACTGTGGCAGGGACAGGGAGGAAACGTGGCAAAGCATGCACTGGCTTTTAAAGCCTTCCTCCCAGAAGTGACACCTCCACTCACATTTCATCAGTCAAAGCAAGTCACATGGTGCCATCTGATGCCAAGAGGACTGGGCAAGTGCAGTCCTCCCAGGTGCCCAGAAGAGGGAGAACCGGAATATGTATGAACAGCCCAAGGAATACACCATCAGAATTCAGCTCAGAACCTCCACTCTCAACTATATATTTTTATGAAAGAAATGTCCAGGGAGGACTGCTCTGCTTCATCTATTCATTCAACAACTCATTCATTCATTCAGCAGGAGCTGGACCGGGGCGGTGGGAGTGGCCAGGGAAAGAAGTACCCAGGAATCAAAAGATATTTAGAATGAAACATTGACAGGATTTGGTCCTGGTTTGGATACAGGGGATGAGGGTGTGTCAATAATTCATTTGTTCATCAATGCAACAAGCATTTATTGAGCACCTGCTGTGTGCAGAGCTGTTCTGGGCTCTGGGGAGACAGCCATGAACAAGACAGCAATCTCCAACCCCAGAGAGCTGAGCTCCTAGAGGGAGAGCACGAACGAACGGCATGGGCTAGAATGTCCGGGGTGACAGTGCTGTGAAGGAAGGAAGCGGGTGCTGAGAACACGGAGGTGCTGGAGAAGGTGAACTCCCAGGAGGCTGGTTTGTGCAATGGGAAGGCAGGAACAGCGGTGTTGCCTACACTGCAAGAGGCATGGGTTTGCAGGAGAAGTGAAGATGTTTGTTCACGTAAAAACTTACACACTGTGAGACTGTGAGCCCAACTGACTCCTTCTTGAAGCCCTCAGCACTTGCTAAGTCCCTTAGTGTAAACCTTGCCCACAAAAGTTGTGCAGTAACTGGGGACAACAGGCAGAGACAGCTTGCTCCAGGGTCAAAGGTTCAGATCCCCTTACAGGCCAGGCACAAAAAAAAAAAGAAAGAAAAGAAAAAGAAACAGCTGGCTGACTACAAAGAAGGAACTTAATGAGTAAATACCACGGTGACGGTAACATTGACAACATCCGGTCTGGCTACCTGCATCACAAGACTTTGGAGTTACTGACATTAGCTTGTGTCTTAGTAATTGCTTCGTGGCTTTTCCCACTGCTGTGTGTTCACTAAGAGTTACTGACATTAGCTTGTGTCTTAGTAATTGCTTCGTGGCTTTTCCCACTGCTGTGTGTGAACTGCCTATATAAACTCAGGCTCGACTAAGAAGGCACAGAGAAACCTTGCTTATGCCTCTGGATTGTCGCCCACCCGATCGATCGTCTTGTATGCAAGTGACCCTTTCATAAATTCTTTGCTTTACCACGTGGAACTGACTGCTTCCTTCTTTGGTCGCAAGATACCTTCTCAGTTTGGTGGATGTTTTGCCTTTGGTCC